GGCACCCTACAGGATGTAATCAGAGTCTTCGGAGATGCATGCACGGACCAACGCACAAGAGTCGATATGAAAACCATACCAGCGCAATCCTCAATCGAAATAGCCACCTCAGCTACGGAACTGACACAACGGGATGGAAACCGAAGAATTGGAACGGGGGCGGCCAGACTAGATGATGATATCAGCGTCTCTGCCAACATGATAACGATCACGACTGAAGACGACTCACTAGCAGAGCATGAGATGCAAGCAATCCGGGGAAACATCCGCAATACCACGAACGGAGCGACCATCACGTTGAGCACAACGTCCTTCACAATAAACAACACCCTAGGAAGCAAACTCAAGAAATGGGAGGACGAGGGTTTCCCGGACGTACCAGGAGCACACCATGCTAAGGCGATTGCAGCTGAACTGCGCGCGAGAAAGACGCACACCCTTGTACGGGACATAGAACACGCAGCAATAAACCCATTAGTCCAATCCGCTAAGTCAGCAGCGAAGAACGCACTTGGACAACCACCCCCATGGCCAGTACGGGAGCCACAAGAATGCTTCATGGTAGATGGGATGAAGCTGTCGAAGCTCACGCAAAGATCAGCATATAGAGCAATAAGGAAAATAAAGACACATAAGACAGACCAACGGGAAGCGACGAGATGGAACATGGAAGAGGCACTAGACCGACTCCAGGACACCTCTGAATCCAGAGCGACCGCAAAAGAGGTATGGAGAGGAATGAAGTCCCCACACATCATCAAAGGCGCAAGAGGGTTTATGTGGCTTGCCATGCACGACGGGTATATGACCGGAGACAGATGGCTGAAGACGAACATGTCTGAGGAATACAAGGAACGAGGAATGTGCAAAAACTGCATACAGGTGGAATCCATGAACCACATCCTCTTCCACTGCGAGGAAATAGGCCAAGAAATGATATGGAAACTGCTCACAAGTGTATGGTCCGAAGCCGGTCTCCCCAAAATGTCCGCAAACTGGGGATCAGTTCTTGCCCCCGGAATAGCATCACCAGAAAGCGGTGAGAGACCGCTCACCGGGCATGAACGAAGACTGTGGACAATCCTGACCACAGAGTCAGCCCAGCTGATATGGCACCTGAGATGCGACAGAGTGATAGAGGAGCAAGGAGAGGCGCACACGGCCGTGGAGGTCACGAACAGATGGTACGCCGCAATGAACGGAAGATTGGCGCTTGACCGGAGAACGCGGCGCGGGTCCCGGACACTCATGCCGTGAGCGCTGGAAATGTGGCCAAAATCTGGTTGCCTATTCTGAACGATAGAGACCGACTCCCAGAAGACTGGGTACTCGGAGGCGGGGGTTTAGTGGGTATAAGGAAAGCGAGCGGATAGTCCTCGGACTAGATGATGCACGCCGGACTGAGTCCCACACTTTGTGCGTAATTGCATTCCATCGCGGTGACTAGGCAAGTGCGGAGTTTTCTAGCTTCCTCTGTTCAAGCCTATACGAAAAAGCAAGCCGGTTGTTTCGCTACAACTCGGACTGTCCTGGATCCCTTAGGGGTGAAACGATGGTCTACGGCAATTGCTCCACCAAAAAAAAAAAAAAAAAAAAAAAAAAAAAAAAAAAACAGCCTGAGGTGCTCATATCATGGCTGCTTATGTACAGTGTGCGATGGTGCGTGCCCGTCGACTCTGGATTCGGACGTCACGACGACCTCGACCACGTAATACAGCTAATTAAAGCGACGGACGGGGATGACCGAGCGGATCCCGGGGCGGGTGAACTGTTTGTGCAGTGCTGATCTTCAAGCAGACGGGATACTCATATGTAGCGGAACGCAACCAGCCCCGCGGAGACGCTTCAAACATCAACATACGAAACCTCAGAGACTTCAGAGCCAAACAAAACAGAGCGTATGCGGTGGCGAGGATGCGCGCGTGTTGACAAGCTTGGGAAGCAAAGACGGACATGCAGTTTGCATGTAGTGTTCCGCCGGCTGCAGTGTTCAAGCCTCAGGCCTCAGGCTTGAGCTTGTATGATTGGCCATCCCATGGCGAGTAGGCGGGACCATAAACTGCGCACCAGAATGGTGAGCAAGATCCAAGCGTCCGCACAAACCTCAACTTCAAGTCCTGAGTCTATTTGAAAGCTGAAGCTTGAAGCTCGGATCCGGGGTGCTCGAGGCTTGAATTCTGCTCCAGGCGGGCTGCAAGCACCTCCCCTGCGCACGCGCCCTCGACCGCCTCATGACCCGATGAGACTCTGGCCAACCCAGCTCTCCATCCGCACCCCCTCCGACGCACGCGCCTCCACGCGCGCCGGCCGCCACCCGATGGAAAGGGCTCGCGGTCCCGCCGTGGTCAGCTGTACTTATTTTCTGGTCCGAAACGAGCCGTCGCGATCGCTTACACGACGTTACGACCGGAACTGTATCAAATAGCGCAGGCGGCTTATCTCTCTCTCTCTCTGTCTCCGTGGAGCGGCGGCATGGACCCTACGTACAGCCGAGCGCTGAGCGTCTACGCCAGCCGCGCTTCCGTCTTCCCACCATTATCGCTCTTTGCGCTCATTCCTCCGCGCTCAGATCCCGAGCTCCCGACAACCGACGGACTCGTTTTCCACCCCGCACCGTGTCGACGTCCGTCCCTGCATGCGCCGGGCCATGCCCAACTTCCGCTAGGACTCGGAGTCAGTGCGTAGAGAGACCAGCAGACTGGATTACAGTAACAAGTGTCCTCTCCGCGAGCGCGCCTCGGGCCTTGCTCCGCTCTCCCCCCATCCCGCTCTCCGATGCATCTCCTCCGTCAAATCAAGCTGCCGCACCTCTCCGTCGCGCCGTGCCACCGGTACCGGGTCGTTCGCAGTCTAATCGCCCTGCCACCCGCGGCCTCCTCGGCGTCAAGCACCACCGCGCGCGGCGGCCCACCGTACCAGCTGCAGCCGGCGCCGGGCTCACGCTCATCGGACTCGGCCGTCCGTCCGTCGCGCCGACACCCTGCAAGCCCCCAGCGCCGGGCTCGCGCGCACGCCGACCGCCGGTCATCTCGACGTCCACACAACCGCCGTCCGCGCGGCTCGGTGCGCTCCCTCCGCGCCGCGCGGCGTCGAAATCACAGTTCCTCGCTCGTCTCCGCGCCCGACGCTGCCTTCTTCTGCCGCCCCCGCTTCGAAACGCGCGCGGACGCGCGGCACGGCCCCTCGGCGACACGCATACGCGCGTCGTCCTCCTCCGGCGGCACGCATACATGACTGTCCGTCCACGTGCGTCGATGTTTTAAATTTGCATGCACCACACCTACTTGCCGCCGCGCGCGCGATACGGGCGGGGCGGATGCGCACGCGTCGCCAGGCCCCCGCCCGCTCAGTGTGAAGTCGCCGCCAGCTCGGTGAAGCGTCGGGGGTGTCGAAGGGAGTCGAGAGGAGACGCCGGTCGAGGAGAGGCGAACACGAGAGCGAGTCGGCACACGAAAGTGAGTGGGGAACAGTCGCATCCCGAAAAGCTGGCTACTACAGAGCGGCGCGACCTCGATATATATGGTGTCGGAGCCGGAGCTGCGTTACAGTAGCTGGTAGCGTAAGCAAGCCGTCGTCCTAACAAACAAACACGGAGTGATCAACGAAAAGAGAGATCGGGAGATGAAGGGGGAGCGCCGGGAGAGTCCGGCGCGAGCGAAAGAAATAATGGCCCGGCGCGCGCGATCGCGGAAGCTTCGCGTCGCGTACTAGACCAGTCCCAGTCCTGACACTCAGCGCTGCTCGTGTCCCTCAAGGCTCGAGCGACACGCGCTGGGCTGCGGACGTCCATGACACGCGGGAGCTGGAAAACAAGGCTTGGAGTCGCGTGTTCATAAGGAGAAATTTTAGGGGCTGCGGTTATAGGCCGTGTGCGTAGGCGGCGTAGAGGTGTGGGGTACGGTCGGCTCAGGATCGTCGTAGAAGGGGCGAGAGCGCGGGGTAGATATGAAGGTCGAGGTCAACGGAGTGAGAGCGACGGACTCTGATGAGAAAAAGAAGACTAACGTGCAGTAGACGCGAGGCGCAGAATTAGACTGCAGGCTGAGGGATTGCGGGGTACGCGTCGGTACGGATGCGACGTACGAGGGCACGAGAGGAGAGCGAGAAACTCGCGAGCAGAAATGCAAATCGCATGATCTTGGCAGATACACGGGGTCGCAGCCATCCAGAGAGTGTCGTCTAGCTAGTCAGTCCGGCGCGCTACACGGAAAATCCCGACTGTACCGCGTAGTTAGCGCGTGTATTCTTGGACGCAGAGGCGAAAACTCACCTTTCTTGTGCTGTCAAGACCCTCCTGCTCCACGCCGTCAACAGCGCGTCTCCCATCCACAAACTCCACCCCCTTCCCCCTCCCCGTGCCCGCCCCCGGACCTACCGCGCATCCCCTCCGCCCGTACCCACACTCGTAGCACACTTGCCCAACCGACCCCAACCGGCTCGACCCACCCCACTCTGACTCGCCCTCCTCCACGCCGCCGACCGACGGCTGGAGCGTGCCCACGAACGAGCCGAGCTCGACCCTCGTCGTGAGCTGGATCGTCTCGCCGGCGGCGCCGCGCGCGAGCTGGGCGTGGTTCAGCGACCGGTGCACGAGCTCCTTCTCGGCGTTGAGCACGGCGAAGAACGAGCAGATCTCGACTGCGTGCGGGTGTGGGTGCGGGGTCAGCGAGGGCGCGGGCAGAAGAAAAAGAGAGACACGCACGTTGGTTGAAGACCCAGAACACGGCGATAAACGCGTAGCTCGCCGGAAGCACGCTGAACTGCTCGCAGGCGATCAGCGGCTGCGGCAAGGTCAGGCCGACGGAGAACTTGAGGGTGGCTTACGAGGATGATGTCGCAGGTGGAGAGGATGCTGTGTGTGCGGACGGTCAGCGTCGAGACCGCGCAGAGAGACGGCACGAGACGGCACGCACACGTTGAGCGAGCCCGTGCTGAGTGCGAACACCACGATGGTCCGGATCAACAGGTCCAACCTGGGGAGCAAACAGTTGCGTTGAGCATCTACGAGACGAACGAGGCGCGCGGCGCGGACCGTTTGATCCCAGAGTAGAACCGCAAGAAGGACACAAAGACGGCGAAGGAGATCATTAAGTCGATCACGATCTCCGCGCCGGACGCGAAGAAGAACGTCCACTAGCGAGTTGTTCCAACTCTGTCAGACGAGCGGCAGGATGAGACCACAGCACAGCGAACGCTCACGGTCAGATGCGTCTCAGCAATTTGCCAGGAGAAATCCAAGCGGGCTCTGCGACACGTCAGCTTACGCTCCGAAGGACGTGCAGGAGACAGCTCACGAGCGGATGCTGAAGACTTGACTCGCGTACCAGCAAGTCAGCGCCGACGGGAAACAAAGCGGACGAAGCGCACTCACAAAGGGCCACCGCAGTCACTAGCAGTGTCAAGACAGAACCCTGAAAGAGGCACTTGTACGTTATCTACGGCGAAGAGATGCGTGTACGAACCAGAATGATCAAGATGAGATATCGCCTACGGTTGACTGGAAGACCATGTCATAGGTCAGCGCGAGACGTGAGCAGATCGCGAGGCTCACATTTCCAGATCCTGTAGAAGTATCCACTGCGGGGTGGTGCTCGTGTGAGCATTTGGCACTGCACAGCCGAGGTTGGTACTTACAACCGGACCATGGCGCTGCTGATGTCCTGCGATGGAGAAGGGCGAGTATGTGAGAGGCTGGCAAGGGCATTATCGAGTAACTGCTATCGCTCACCGATGTCATCGCACTTGCCTGGAAATTCAACGTCGACGGCACATGTAAGCACAGACGCGGCGGAGGTTCATGGAGCCGCACCGAGTAAAGATTCGTGGAGCCAAAGATGGCGACAAGGTCACCCCTTCCGATGACAACGTATCTGGCCAGCAGGTAACAGCAGAGCATAACATGCGCGGTTCCCAACAACCTGGCATGGGGAAAGTAGCATGAGACTTCCCTCAGCAGCTCTGCAGAAGTACAAGCTCACCATAACGCCACGACCTATAAACGCCCGTCCAGCCTGGCTGTATGCGCACAAGAACGAACAAAGACTCACGTAGTAGACCATCCACTTCCTTAGGCTCAACCCGTCGAGCCTCCGAAAGTACCAGAGCAGCTGGCCAGTCGTCGCGCCATAGAGCCTGCCATTCGCCGCGGCGCCGCGCATCAGCAGCGTGAAGGCGCGATCGAGAAACACGAGGCGACGCACGCGAGAGAGACGCCGAGTCCGACGAGCTCGGCGCCGATCGTCAGGTCGAGGGAAGAGGGCGTCGGCAGCGAGGGCGGGTCGGACATTCGACAGGGTGCTGGGGGCGTCGCGGCGAGCGATCCTCATCCGTCCGCGACCGGCAGAGAGTGGGGGCGGGGGCTTGGTGCGCGTCG